CTGGAAGCTTCCTCGAGCACATGCAGTGCTGGCTTCTGGCAGCTACGGTGTAGCAAAAGAAAGTGGAAAGATAGCCGTTAAATTACAAAGTTAAAGATAGTGTGGTAATTGACTTTGACCAGACCTCTGAGCTGAATTGAGACTGTAGCGGTATCAGTTTCACAGTACAGGCACAGGAAGAAACCCCCATTAACATTTAGTTTAATCATGCAGTCCTGGTTTTTGCTATCTACTGGAGAGGATGTATATCTCACATACCTGTACCCTTAGTTGACTCTGTGCTTGTTGGCGCTTCACATTCCCCTGGGAACATGTCTCCCTGCTGCACACTCAGTTACATGACAGCTGTCACTTTTTGTAACCAGAGCTCCATCACTATCTCTGCACTATCCCCCAGGCCCAGACTGGTACCTGAACAAGGTGAAGTTGAAGATCACTGATGTCAATGACAACGTCCCTGATTGGAATATGAAGCCGTACCCTTACCTGGCTGTCGTATCCCCCGAGGCCCCTGCGGGAACGTTTGTCTACCAGCTCCAGGCTCATGATGGGGATGAGGGTAAAAGTGGAGAGGTGGAATACTTTTTGTCAGATGGTAAGCTTTCTGCTGTTCACACACACACACACACACACACACACACACATATAGAAGGGAAGGTGTATTAAAATAGATTGTGTCGTTGTTAAAATAAGCTGACAAGCTATAGAGACTTGAAAATAAATACAAGTAGTCAGACACCAGTTCTCAGACATGACAGCCAGAGGCATTCACACGTTCATTCATGCATTTTTAGGTTCTTTAGGTGTCCGTTAGATTCTCTATCTCTCTGTCACCCCATTTCTCTTTTCTTCTGTATCTCTGTCCCTCTTTCTTTTTCTACACACACATACACAATCGCAGCAGACACACACACACGCAGCCAGAGGCCTTCGCACATTTGTTTATGCACTTATCGTGCACTCTATCTATCTCTCTAATTCTCCATGTTGCATACGCAGAGTAAATTCTGCAGACACACACGCTGAAATACACATACACGCATTTGGCTGTTGGAAGTCTGCCACAGTAGACCCCCTGGTGGTTGAGGGGATGGAGGTTTGTTCACATGTCAGAGATTGGGGGATGTGCTAATCTTGCCAATGGGGCTTTACAAAACACTACTGACTTCCCTCTGACTCGCATTAGTACATCGCACAGCTCCACGTTTTGACTTTAAACCACAAATACTACAAAGCGGCCCTTGTCTTTGTCTCACCTCTTGTCTATGCTGAGAACTCATATAAGCAGCGACATTTGTCAAAGCAGCTAACATAAACTTAAAAGTTAAAAAACTACCCTCTTATCCTGTGCTTAATTTTAAAAACCTGAAGATGAGATGAGATGACACCCTGATTGACCCAATTTTTTTAGTTTTTTTATTTAATTATTTTTATTTAATTATTTTTATTTTTATTTAATTATTTTTTTATTTTTTTATTTAATTTTAATTTATTTAATTTAATTTTTGTATTCAACGGCAGCAGAAAAATTAAAAAAGTGAGTTTTTTGCTTTTGTTTTTTTTTGTATAGAAACACTTGGTTATGTTTACATGCAGCCTTCCTCATCCTAATGCATGGTGTGCATCCTTGTGGTTTAACAATAGCGTTGGA